AAGAAATAAGAAAAAAAAAAAAATCTGTTGTATTCACCCATATATGTATATGCGAATTTAAACGAGCTGCACGATAATTTGCTCTCCAAAATTACAGTGATTAAAAATAAGCGAAACATCGGGGGATAATGAGATTAACGCGAAGTAATTAGAAGAGCGAGTTTCTGGGAGGACGATTCAATGTACGGAGAAAATGGCAACAAGTAACATCACATTTATATAACATCAGGATCGCACAATGTGGTGTCTGTGCAGTGCTACATTTGAAGATTCTACACTGCCCTTCGGGGCTTCGACGGGATTTGCCGAGTTAATGCAGAGCCACAATTTCAGAGCCCGACGATTTCGCGCCATTCCACAGACTTCCGATCGATGCTTTAAATTACTTTGCCAACGTGTAACAGTACACGCTGACACTTGTCATTCTCGGCGAGGACTAAAGAGAAACGGGCGCGCGCCGAGAGACCGACAATTACAATAGAAGCGGAAGTCGGGTTGTGTTTCTCTCACCGCATAGTTACACGTTACTTCACGTCTCGTTCTCTTTTTCATTCCTTCTTCCTCCCCCCCCTCTCTCTTTCTCTTCTGTCTCGCTCTGGCTTTTCGGTGCCGACCACCGTGATAAATTAGCCGGAGCTGTTAGCGCAGCGCGCTCGTTTACTTTTCGTTCGTTAGTTACAAGTCGAAGCGCGACTTTCTTGTTGTGTCCCGCGCGACACTGTATCTCCGACGCCCACGAATCCCATCGATCACCGTCGCTTATTAATCCGTGCCCGCTTTCTTCACAAAAAAGATAAAAGAAAAAAAAGAAAAAACACGGCAATTGGCCGTACGCTCAATAACCGAACTACATTCTTCATCGTTACCCCGACGGCCGAAGGATCGATCCTTCCCCGCGTGTTGCACAGATCCGCCCAGCAAATGAGATCGCAATGCCCTCGGCAATTTCGCGCCGTCGATGTAAGTACATATTTGTGTAATATTAGAAAAAGAAAAAAAGAAGAGAAATGCGTCGCGCGGGGAATGTGCGCAGGAATGGCCCTTTGAGCTCGTGCACGTGAAACGTGAAATGTGAAACGCGAATACGAGGGGACGAGCGAAGCGGCGCGGCGGGCTTTGAAGGGTAAAAGGAATCGTCACGGAGGTGGAGGCGCGCGCGTGCAAAGGACATGGATGCGCCTGCCTGTTCCCTCATCGATCAGAAGTTCCGCGAAAAACGAGTGAAATGGAGTACACGCGATAGTGCATAAAATACGACGAATATCATCCACCCGCTGCCCGCGGCCCTCCGTGCGATGACGACGACAACGACGACGACGACGACGACGACGACGACGACGACGACGACGACGACGACGACGACGACGACCTCCATCCGCGAGCAGAGAAAGAGAGAAAGAGGGACAGCTCGCGACCCGCGCGACGGTATCAATCTATCAATATACCGATATATTGGCGTACCGGCTGCTCTTTGAAATATCGACACGCTCATCTCGCTTTGTTACGCCACTCCGTTATTGGCCGTACGCGCCGCAAAAACCCATCCGCCTCTTCCCGACAGAGGAATATTTCGCATTAAACGTATTCGCGTCGCGTCGATACGTGATGGATCAGAAAGCATCTTTGCCATGTGCGTGAGACGGAAAACGAGTGGTGACGCGAAATGGAGGATTTTTCAATTTCACTGCTTGCGAGGATTCCAAAGACTTGACTCGGGTCGGGTCGGGAGTAATGACGAAGGTTGCTTGTGGTGGAAGAAGAGGGAATGTAAATGAGAGGCGAGTTGGAGCCTGCGGTTGTTCTCCGCGTCAGTCGACGACGTGTAAAATTGCAGGTGGAATTTTTCCGGTGCCGAGTTCTCGATCGCGAGCCGCTGATCGAGTCGCCGAGGCGAGGGGCCGAGCTGAGTTTCGCAATTCGTCAGCGCACATGGGGATGCAGGATCGATCTTCCGTTTTTGCAACTTCCTCCATTCTCCGATCAGTGATATGTAAAATTGCAGGTCGCGCGGCTGCGGGTCGTCGGGGAAGAAATAACCGCGATCAATTAGGTCATATTCTCGATATCCTCCTCGTGCTTCCGTCGATCACGCGACCTCCGACCTCCGACCTGATCGTAGATTCGTACTCGCGCGCACCCGCGAATAATACCTCGCGTTCGCTCAGCGAGAAGTAATTTTCCGGAGCTCCACTGCGGCTGATTGGATTTCGTATTCCCGATTAGTCCGCCCATCCACACAGGCGGCGGTCCGGGAAATGAAAGTGCGATTCGCGAGATTCGCGCGCGCGCGACGGATCTTCGTCGATAATGGCGTGGAGGAAACCTCCCCCCCCCCTCCTGTCGCTCCTGTCGCAGTGGCGATAATGGAACGCGAGCGATAACGACACGTCAAACGTGGGAGGAACGAGATTATCGATTACAATGGATACGACTGGAATCGACCGCTGTCGTAACGAGCCGAGCGAAAGATAAAGAAAAAAAGAAACATTACGTGTAGAAAGTTCCATCTTTTTTTCATTAATCGGAGAGAAAGGAAGTAAATCTGTCGCGTTAATGAATCGCGACTGTACATCTCCGTTGTGTCTTAATCTTTCTTCCTCATTTTTATAGTTTCTTCTTCATTTTTATAAATTTATTCTATTCTCGCGCTTTCCGCGCCTCGTTTCACGTCCAATTCGATTTTATCCTTCGTGGCTCACCTCTTTACACGTAATATTCCTCGATATTTTTTTTCATTTGGATTCATAACACGGCGGATCGAGGCGTTTTCATTTTTCTTAAATACTTTATTTTACACGTAAATCGAAAAAAAATTTCAAACACTCGGTCGCTGGGAATATTGTACTGTATGAAACGAGAGAATGTAACGAGTTTCCGATTCACGAGGCGCAATAATGTGCAGACGCACATTTTTGTGAAAATCACGTGCGTATATCACAAGCTGTAATACCCCTTTAAGAGTATCATATTCAGATAATATTAACCATTTAATTATGTAGTGCTTATTGAGATACATGGTACTTTTTTTACGAATGATTAAGCCCCGCGATTATGAACTACTTGGATTGCTACTCGTCTGAATTGCGAATGGATTTTGATTTTCATCATATTAAAATAATTAAATTATCGCAGGACATTATTCACGCGCTTCATCGGGAGATATTGATGGAAACCAAATTAATTCGCGACGTGGAATACGATATTAACGACTCGAGCGTCAACGAATTGGATATAAATTAACACTCGCACGTTATATAATTAAAAGCGCGGAGCGCGTTCCTTTCCATTGAAAAAAAAAAGAAAAAAAAAACCGCGCGCTTATTCGTGCCTTTGTCATTCAAAGTGATTAAAACTAATAGCGTATAATATTGTAATGCCATATAATATCGTAATTTGTAATATACACAATATTTGTAATATATGAAATAAATCGTATGTAATATTGCAAATAACAACAAGGACCAATGAGGTATTATCTTCCGCTGCATTCTTCGAAAAGACAAACGCGAGGAATGGAAGCTCGAAAATATACGAACATTTGGAATACATCTCGGAAGATTGCGCAACCCGAATATGATCATAAAAGAAGAACCTACAACACTCGCCACACGCCACACATGTACCGGAATTTCCGGAACATCTTGTGTGCACAAGTCACGTGTCACTTTCGTCTGCTCGCTCGCGTTCTCGTATTGCCAGATATTTGGGCCGCGGTCGAGTTCCGTTTGTCCGTGAGTTTTTGCCTCGGCAGATTGCACGGGATAAAAGGTGTGCAAAAAAGGTGGACGAGAGGGGCGGCGAGGGGGCAGCGTGAGAGGAAGGGGGGAGCCGCGCGGGGTGGCAATAGGTGGGCACACCGTTAGAGGGAAACGTTATTACGTCCGACACTTTATTCGCTCTATCGCTGACGCGAGATATTCCGCCGAATTCCGCGAGTGCCGCGAGCGCCCGCGCGATGATAATTCACCGCATACGTAAGAGTAACGCGTATGTACCGTAGTATATATCGATCGTACCGTCGAGATAATTACAATGTGGTAGCGGTAACACGCGAGCGAGCGAGACGCGCGCGACCGCCCCGCCACTCCTCCTGTCTTTGATAAGGAACGTCGCGCGCTGATTGCAATTTAGACACGACGCGACGCGGCTTATAATTGGGATGAGCGTCCTCCAAAAAGGACCCAAACATCGCTCCCGCAAATTAGACCCGGATTAGTTTCACTGCACTAACTGGATTTAAGCAGTCGGAGCGGTCGCCTGGCCGACACGTGTCGGCTATAGCCTTCTTTTTTGACGTCTCCCTGCGCGACGCCGAAACTCGCGGCGTTCGAGCAATCTCCCGGCATTGGTAACGTCATGCCCGGCGAGAATGTTGCGGAGAGAGAGAGAGAGAGAGAGAGAGAGAGAGAGAGAGAGAGAGAGAGAGAGAGAGAGAGATAGAGAGAGAGAGAAAGGAACGAGAAATTTGTCGCGGGAAACATTCCACGGGCGTCGCGTTCCGGGTGATCAGAACACATGCGCGCAAGTCGGATGAATAAACACGTGCGAAATATTCGGCAGATTCTCCGAAGCTAATTCCGACGAGAACGCGGATCCTCGCTCGTGGGAATGCCCAAGAGAATTATTCATCGCGACTTCCCGTGCATCAATGTTTGAATAAACGGTTAAAACGTGTAATTACTTTCCGAGCACGTCGTAAAATATTTCCGACGACACGTTCTCTCCCCCCGTCCACGGCGCTCCGAAATGACGGAGATATTTAGCCGCTCACGAGGAGGGGCGCAGCCTGTATATCCCGGTGGTCTTGGGAACACGTAAAACTCCCCGTACACGCGCGCGCCAACAAGTCGCTCAAAGGAGACATAACCGTAGATACGTGTACACACATGTACGCGGCAATCTCGTTATAAGGCTAAAGCGCCTCTCTCTCTCTCTCTCTCTCTCTCTCTCTCCCTCTCTCTCTCTCTCTCTCTCCCCCTCTCCCTCTCTTTCTGCCCCTCGCGACATTCGAAAGGCTCCCAGACCCAAAGCAATTTCGCTTAAACCCACCTCTCTGTGCCGTTCAAGGCGTCCGTCTCACCCTCCCGCTCTTTTTTCTCTCGTCTCTTTCGTTCCGTCTAACTCTCCTACGCTTCCGGGAGCCGTCTCGTGCGCCAAAATAGTGTCGGTATCCGCTAAAGGCCAATGTACCGTCCGCGAGCTCGCCGATAAGAAAATTCAATCGCGCCGACCGGTGTCGAGAGGGCGTAAACTCCGAGGATCTCCCTCGGTTCTACCCTTTGTCGTCGAAAATTCCATCTGCGAGCGTCGATTCATTTGAATTAACATTCGACGGCGAGCTATACATTTTAATGCGGAGCCGCCTCCGCCCGCGCCCCGGCGAGAAAACTCTCCGACTCGGTTTATTTATTTTTTCCTCCTCCCCCTCCAGATCTCCAAGACTCGAGATAACATTTCGATGTAACGGCGGAGGGGAGGAGAGGAGGGACTCGCGGTGAAACTTTACTTCTCCTGCTCGAGATGTCGCACATGTCATGAGAAATCGTCCGAGGAATTACACGCGAGACCCTCGTCGCAGTCGATCGCGTTCGCTTTTGATTAGCCCGAACAAAGTATAATTTTACCGTAATCGTAAATCGCGTACTTGCCGTCTTGCCTGTGCTCGTAACACCGCCACTTGAAAGTTGCAAATGGCCGAAACATCGGCGGAATGAGCGTGCGCGAGGGTTAACGATACGCGCAGCTAATAACATCGTAACGACACTGTAATCTCGCGAAATGCGCTCTTGTATAATTCATCCTACTTACGCTTCATCAGGTCGCTTGCTACGAATTAGGTTGTAATATTATTAGCATACTTCTTCCGCGTCCAAACACCGTGCCGCGTTGTCTTCGCTCCAGAAACCGACGGTTTCGGACGCCGACCGGTCGAACAAATTAAGGCGTAACATCTGAGTGAACGCCTGAAAACACAGAGTAAGTTTGGGAATTTTTTGTAGTTAAATAACACCATAGATGGAAAATTGGTTTGAAGGCCTCTAACGTGCATACCTTAAACTATACAAAACAATTTTCTGTTATTATTTCGCCTCAAGACGGCGGGCGCTGAAGCTCTCCAAGTAAAACCGCATTTTTCTCATGGGTCCCCGCGATTTGCAGCAGAAATGCACTTTGTACACTTTCAAAAAGGACAAAAAGGCAAAATTTTTGTTAATCTACGCTAAATTTGCTAGAGAAGTACACACGTATGTGTTGAAATATTGATTTTTGTAGAAATGGTGAACATTAGGAAGAAAGTTTGTTTTATCCAAGAAATTCAGTGAAAAAATATTTACAATAACAAAAGTTTTAAACCGATCGTAAAAATCATGTGTACTTCTCTAGAGAATTTAATTTAACAGCTACTGCAAAAATTTCGAGCGGATCGGATGAAATTTGTTAAAGTTCTGCCAATTCGCAAGCCAATTCGAAAAACGTGATTTTACTTGGAGAGCTTCAGCGCCGCTATCTTGAGGCAAAATAACAAAAAATTGTTTTGTGTAGTTTAAAGTATGCACGTTAGAGGCCTTCAAGCCAATTTTTCATCTATGTTGTTATTATTTAACTACAAAAAATTTCCAAACTTACTCTGTGTTTTCAGGCGTTCACCACTCAGATGTTACCCCTTAAAGACTTTTAACCCTTTATTAAACGACGACAAATTGTTTCGTCGCGAGGTTAAAACAGCCTTGCGCGCGATCCCACTGCGCGCTGGCACAATCGCCGACGGATCGAGCGGCATTAAGACGCGATTATGCGCGATAACGAGCAATTTAACGTCGACGACCACACGATGTAACACGATCGACTCTCGGCGCCAATCGAGCGCGTTAGACAGCAACTCGTCAAGACATTCAGATCCGACTCATTAGCGATCGAGATCGGCCGTTGCTTCGGCTTCCGCGACGCGGGACGAGGTTCAACAACGGCGAAACTCGCGGCTGACGACGCGAAAGCCGTTTCAATCATAATCAATTTAAACACTTCCCAATGCGCGCAAATGAAAGTATAATTAGCAACGTCTATTCGAACAGCGGAGAATAAAGCAATAAAGATTAAAGTACATCATCCGTACGTTAAAACACGGCAAATTATTGTTATTATTAACAATTACCGGCGCGTCACATTCGTTACGGAAAAAGCGACTAAAGGCGCTCGCTTCGACGCGAATTTTCATCCGTTCGTTCGTTTCATCTAATCGCGCCGAATTGCGCTCGCAGCGAGTAGGGATACAACGATAAATCGATAATATCGAAATACCGAAATATCGATATATCGAGAGACAAATACCGAATATTTATCGATATTTGTTTGTCTCCGATAAAGTCGATATATCGATGTAAATCTTACTGAGACATTTCGTATTTTTCAGTTACAGCTCTGGGGGCCTATTACGGTTCTACGACCGAGATGAAAATTACAAAAGTGACTGAATTCAGCGGAATATACGTATATTATGTAATTGGTCGATGTCTAGTAAATTTGCTCATTTTTATCATTTTCACCTCAATCGTTGAACCGTAATAGATCTCCTGCTCCGTATATACGGTGATCTCCGGCAAACAACTGTGGTTTATTATATATTTTCTAATAAAAATATGACAATAAATTATATGAGGATAAAAATTTTTAAAAGATCTTTTTAAATTTTTCGTGTATACCCTTTATACGCACCTTTATACCCCTATATGTATACATTTTTTTATATAAATATCGATATTTTTTCAAAATTATCGATATTATCGTAATCGATATTTGGAGAAATCATTGCGTCACTGGCAGCGAGACGCTCCGCGTGAGACGCTCTCCGCCGCTCTACTACACACGGGGGTGCTTTTAAAAGAAGACCGTGGAGCGAAATTCGGCGAGTGCCGAGCTACCTTAACACGGGCTTATCCGGCGGAACGTGGCGAAATTGTTCAGCGCTATCATTACGGACGTTTCTCTCTTAAGCGCTTAATAATAGTACTTGGCGTCTACGACGATGCGGACGTTTCACGTACGCTGATAGGATTATCTCGGGAGTGCGCGTGCGCGCGCGCGCATTTATATTCACGGCGCCTAATTAACGCGATAATAACGTCGACAGTCGCTGCACGTGCGTTTAATTCGAGGCGGGCGAGGTTCTAATCGCCGCGCAGCGCGCGGCTGCCGATTTTTAATTTCCAGCTCAACGGCGGCGGCGGCACGAGCGAGACTATTTCGCGGCTCGCCTCGCCACGCGGCCGCATCGCGGGCGTCGATTCGCGGCATGAGAAAAGGGGGTGGCGAAGTGCGGCTGGGGGGAGGGAGGAGGAGGAGGCGATGGGTCGGGCTGGGATCTCGCGTTGCGTAATCGCTTGATTCCATTTTTAAGCGGAATGTTGTAACGTTTTTCGTCGCTGGTGCTGAAAGAGGAGAGTTGATATAAAAAAAAAAAAAAAAAAAAAAAAAAAAAAAAAAAAAAAAAAGCGAAAAATAAATAAAAGGAGGGCAAAAAAGCACCAAACTGCGACGAGCGGCTGCATTCGTATGCTGCTTGTCGGTGCGTATTGCGCGGGTAGATAGGTGTTCGCGCTATGCTCCCTTTCGTCGCGCGGCGCAAAGGGCGTGCGTTTTAACGCTCTGGCGTTCGGTCATTTTTGTTTTGTTTTCTTCCCGGCGAGCCGGCCGGGAGCCGGGACTAGCAGCAGCGCACACCAATCGCGCGAATGCGTGTGCGTGCGTGCGTGCGTGTACACGCACACCACTTAGCCGTGAAATATTTTCAAACGAGGAGAGCGTAATTAAAACGGCGCGTATGCGCGTACAATGCGACACTTCGATGGCGAGCATCATCGTGTTTGCGGCGGCCGACGACGAAATTATCGCGCGGCACACGCCCTCTCGACGGACATCCCCCCCTCCCTCCTCCTCGCTAGTCGCGCCGTCAACAGGGAGAGTGTAAAATTTCCTGCTCGATAATATACAGCATGCAAATTGTAAAACTCACCCTGGGGCTCCAGCACAGCCACAGTCGGCGTTGGCCTCCCGGAGCTTTTCAACCAAGCCGTTTAATCTCGAACGGAGACTGCACCTCGCCGCTGCTGATCGACGACGCCTTGGTCGACAGTCACCTGTGGCACGATATGACACTCGCAATATGACCGAGTTTAATTCTCACTTCTCTCTCTCTCTCTCTCTCTCTCTCTCTCTCTCTCTCTCTCTCCCTCTCTCCCCGCCCCCCCTCCTCTCTCCCTCGCCCTCTCCTCTTTCACAGCAGCGCGCGCGAAATTTTCACTCCTCACTCGTTTTAATCTCACGACAGGCACAACGGCGCGAATTCTCCATCTCGCGAATTGTCGCGCGCATTTCGCAGGGCGAGAAAGTCCTCGCGCACACCGAGAGAAGAATTCTCGGTATTTGCAGCTGTAATCGCACAGTGAAGGAGTTATTGTCAGGAGTATTTTTTTAACAAAGCTTCGCGATAGCGTCGGTGATGATAAGCTTATACGCATATTGTTACCGCTTCTTTGTTAGAAGAAGCAGGGCGTAATTGGCGCCGAGAGAATTGGCTACGATTTTAATAACATTCGTCATTGTCTTCTTTCATCACGGTGGGTTGTTTAATAAGTTTCGAGCCTGAACATGAAGATGATGTTACTGGTCGGAAACTGTTGTAAAACAGGAAAGCTACATCTTTTTGAAAGTGTTCCCCAAATGTTCAGCTATATGCGACGTTTAGTTTTGTTTCGACAGTCAGTTGCGATACGCGTGTCAGTATATTTTTTCAACAATGGAAAAAATCGAATACCGTCCGTCCCGTGATTAAATACTTGAATCTAAAAGGGGAAAGCCCAACGGAAATCAAAACCGAGTTCGATTCTGTTTACAATGACCCCTTCATTTTCAACGGTGAAAGTTTGGGTTGCCGAGTTTAAACGTGGCCGCACGAATATTGTTTTTTGGGATAATATATTATCTCATGGTATATTATCTTCAATTATAGATTATCTTCAAGAAGGAAAGGCTATCGCTGACGCATATTATGCATCATTATCAGAACGCTCGAAAGAAGAAATTGTAAAGAACGATATTTGAAGAAGAAAAGATGCTTTTTCAGAACAACGCACCAGCTCGCAAATCTGCAATCGTCATAGTCAAACTGCATGAATTACGCTACGAATTGCCCCCCCTCCCCCCTTCTCCTGATCTAGCCTCTTGCGACGTTTTTCTATTTCCAAACATGAAGAAAGGAAAGAAAGAAAAGAAAAGTTGGGAGGAAAAAAATTCGCGACCAATGAGGAAGTGACTGCCGCGAGTATTTTGCAAGGCTTGATCTACTTTGCTGACGAATGAGAGGACTAGGAAAGAGATGGATAAAGTATATCGAGTTAAAAGAATACTATATTGAAAAATAAAATCTAGTTTGCCCAAAAATATAAGTGCTTCATCGTACCGATTTAACCTGGCAAGCAATCTGATAAAAAAAGAAAAAATCAAGCATTCAAAAAAAGACAATTCGCAATACGGTTCGATTCTTTATACTTTCGTTTGTACCTCAAAGGATAGAAAGATAAGGGGAAGAGGAAAAATAGCCAACAAGCAAGTATAAGATATCGCAAGACGACCAATGTCGTTCGAAAGAGAATCGTTTGTACCCGTTTGTACCTCCCTTCAAATCGTTTGTACCTCAAAGGAACCGGAAGTATAGGATCTTCAAAATATGTCGGAAGGTTACTTTCGTACTTCCAGACCCTTCAAGGTACAAACGATTTGGAGGGAGGTACAAACGGGTACAAACGATTCTCTTTTGAGTGACGTTTTGCGATATCTCAAAAATTGGCGCAAGGATCTCTTCTTGGACATTTGTTTGAAGATCCTGTACTTCCGGTTCCTTTGAAGTACAAACGATTTGAAGGGAGGTACAAACAGGTACAAACGATTCTCTTTCGGATGCCGTTGGCCGTTTTCGGATATCTTATACTTGCTTGCTGGTTATTTTTCTCCCTCCCTCTATCTTTTTATTCTTTGAGGTACAAACGAAAAACAAAAAGCGGTACAAACAGGTACAAACGAAGTAGGTATTGAACCGTATTGAGAATTTTTTTTTTTTTCATTAAGTTGTTTGCCAGGTTCACATCGGTCTTCATCGTCAGACTTATCGAAACTCATCGTTATTATCGAAACTTATCAAATAGCCTTCGTATGAGTCATTACACGTGGGACTCATCTTAGAGTAAGAAAGCTTGAAAGATATCGAGGGATGAGTCAGTTAATCGAGCGACGCGCTGACATGAGTTGAAGTATGTCGAAACAGCCCCCCCTCCCCACCGGCATTGCGTGGAGAGGCGAGCGCGCGTCGACGCTCGGAGTGTTCGGAGGACGAGTAAACTAATCGACGAATTAGCGATACTGCGCGACGCGGCGATACTGCGAGGGACGCGGAACGGATCAACACGAAGGACGAGGGCGATCCGAGTTATATGGGACGGTCGCGTACGATGGTAATGGCGCTCACAGCTGACGACGTTAATAGAAGGATTTCGGGCGGACATCCCTCTCTGCCGTTCTCCCATCCCTCCACCCTCCTCCATACTCCATACTCGTCCATACTCCCCCCCCCTCCACTCTCCCTGTTGGGCTAATTAACCTCGTTATATCGCCGCTCCGACCGACAGGACACTCCTGTTCTCGATGTAACGATCCTCGCGCCTCTGTACTACGAGACGCGGCGACGCAACCCGAAAGCCGAAGCTGGGAGTTTAATTAATTTAATGACACTCTCCGCAGTATCCTTGAGTGACCGATGTGTAACTCCGACGCGGTGCAGAGATATGCAAGAGAGGGAGGGATATGCGAAGAATACATGCATCACTCGCATCACGCTACCGCGATGCAATGCGCGATTCTTCCATTCGAATTTCATTCGAAGCTCAACGCGTCCGGGAATAAACAGGCGTCGAGAATTCTTCCCACGGACGCGTCCGGTCGTGAGGAAAGGAGATATCACGCGGGGTGAAAATATGCGTGCGAAGGAGCTCGTGCGCTGCCGTTTATCGCAGCTTCGTGATCCCCGATTTTACGCACGCGAGCGCATAAATCTCCGATATTATAGAACACCGGTGTATTCGCTGGAACTGGACGAGCGATTATTCCGGGACTCGACAATAAAACGTTTGTGTGTGGTAATATCGTAGAAATAAAGCCGCAGACTGAATGTTCCGCTGAAAATTTAGTCCCCCCGGGGACAGTCGAAGGCAGGTTACACGGCGCTCGTAACTTTAGTTTCCTGCCGTATACCGCGAATTTTGTCGAACAAATATTCCATTATTGGACGTCATCGGTTAACATTCGATAGATCCGATCGATAGGAATCGCGGCGGGCGGCGCGTGATCCACCGCTCAGAAATCAAATTTCGCGTTTGAAAAATTCGCGAGGAGCCGCGCGCGCGCGCGATTTTATTTCCGACGTCTGACCCGCATTTCAATATCGAAGCCGGCGCTTTTATCGAAGTGATTAAGTACCCGGCGATAAAGTCATCTTGTCTGTGCGAGTGTCCGCAGACTGGCGATGCGTCGAATACGGTAAGGCAAATACGATGGATTAATAATACGCAATGCCTGTGTACACAAACGGCCGTGATATTTGATTAAAGTAACGAGCAAAATTGCAGCGCGAGCGCGCGAAAATCCGCTATCATTATTCGCGTTGTCGCTCGTAGAATTTCGATAGAAATATTAATTGCAGTAACAATATCCGTCGTCGATGTAATTGTACGTACAATCAACGCCTCGGCTCGGCTGGACGCAGGTGTGTGCAATTTAGAAATTGCCGAAACAAATTTGCGCGATCATTAAATAACCATTACTTTAGCGCGATTATTATGTAACCATTGTTTCGCTCTACTTTCCGCTCTACCAGCTGACCGCTTTTTTGTTGAGGGTCTCGTCGCGCCGAAAGCGAGACTCCGCTGCTTCAAGCGATGAGTCTGATACAGCGAAATAACGATCGTGACAGTCGTTAATGTCAGCTCGTTAATTCGCCGCGAAGGCAAATGTTTGCATATTCGCGTGGCGCCACACGTTACGCGAATCTTCGAAGTCAAATATGAGGACGGAATTCGAGTCGCGATCGCGATTGCGCTCGCTTTCGCGATAACGAACAATGGTTTACTGTCCCCAAAGCTCTCTCTCGCTTCGGAGATCGGAGGCTCGATCGCCCAGGAACGATCGCGAGTTTATGCGCGTTCCAAGACGGAGCGCGACGGATGAACTCGTGCGTTCCTACGTTCGTTCGTGTCGCGAGATAAAATACCTCGACGGTTTTCGGCGTGGATTTATCGGCCGCCGCAACCCCGCGCTGCGGGAGACGCAATCGCGGTTAGATACTTGCTATTCCAGTAACAGCCGCAGGATCGATCGGCGGAAACGAGACGGCGACGACGACGAGATGCTCCCGATTCCAGGTATCGGTGTCGCACGTGAGAGCACCGGGACGAGCACGTCTCTCTCTCTCTCTCTCTCTCTCTCTCTCTCTCTCTCTCTCTCTCTCTCTCTCTCTCTCTCTCTCTCTCTCTCTCTCTCGCTCGCTCGCTCGCTTTGGGAAACTTGCCGGGAAAAACTCGACGTCGAGATATCTCGTCGCGTCCAGCCGTTTATGGCCGCTGCGCGACCCGTTCGACTCGCGTGTGTCCAACGCGCGCTGTTACTAACTAAAAATGGGAGCCGAGAAATTCTCCCGCTGAATGTACTTCATTATTTATTTAATGAAATTTCAGCGCAAGTTAATTACAATCAGAACCGGTCTCCAAAGTGCCAAAGGAACGGATACCGTTAGAAGGATGCCGAAATGTACGCTAAGAGGCCAAATTTCGAGAAGCCAAAGGGCGCCCATGCGCGCGTTGCAAGACATTTTTAAATATACAATATGAAATTATTATGATTATAAAAAAGAATAGCGGTGCCTTTATATGCATGACTTGCTACAGAATAATGTAGCGCAAGAGTGAATTTTCCACTGGGTGAACGAGATGTTGAAAATAAAAAGTTGCGTTTTCTCTGCACAATTCTCGTAAAAGTTCAACCGATTAAAGTTGTATCCTAGAGACCCATCAGTTTTATTCCAGCCGTGGTA